ATATATATATATATATATATATATATATGTACTTATACTTGTGTATATGTAATAGCGTCTTCAACATTTGCTCTCGTTCTACCTTTTCACCAACCTCTTTGCCCTTCCTCTACATCCAGGTGTAACCCCCATGGACGCAATGGCCATATCCTTGTCGTTTCTCTCGCTCCTGCGTCGCGGATCGAGCTGCTTTCTACATTACCTTCCTCCCATCTTCGTCCTCTTCTTCATCTCCGCGGCCTTTTACCCACCTTCGTGTATCCTCTGTCACGCGGCGAACTGTGTGCTCCTTTTTCTGCCCGCGTTGTTCCGCTCCTTTGTCGTTTTTTCCCCCCTTTGGCCCCCCTCGTTTTTCCTCTGCTCTCTCTCCTTCGTCGTCGAATGCCCTCGAAAACCAATACGCGTTCGCGCTACGATACGATACGATACGAAATGTTTCCTTTTGCGTTTCGAGTTGGATTGATATTGAAAGAAACGGAAGTTGCAATCTTGACGGCGATGCCAACACTGAACACCGTGGGAAGTTGGATTAATTTTATCGGGATCGCGAGAGATAAACGACGACCCCGTAGCGTCCCTATTTTTATCACAATTCTCTGAAATTACGATCCCCGGCGAGGATCGATTACTATTTAACGATCGAGGTAATTAGAGTCTACTACTCGTTACCACCTTTGCTTGGCGAGTCGTACCTTCGTAGAGGGTCACCCGGTATGAAGCTCGGTTACCTGGAAACGAGGATTCCTCCTCGTCTCATCTCTCTTACCTCTTTATTGCGCGTCCTCTATCGCGTTTCATCATTTTTCATATGCGTTTAACGAGGTCTTTGACATTCGTCTTCGACCAAGAGGAGATTCTCCGGATATATATATATATTTATTCTAATCATCCGTTTTTTCCCGAAGCGAGTTATCTCACAATCGTAGACTTGAAATGTTACCCGAGGTGGTAAACATTCGATCTGTTCGATAAAGATTTTACCGATTGATTCGCCGAAATTGAATCGCGACGATATGCATCCTCATACTTGTCTGTCAATAAATTTTAGTCGAAATTTATCTTCGTATATTCCACAGCCACGAAACGTGATTCACGTCTTTCGTAATTGATTCCCTTATTTCTTCCTGATAAGAGTTCCTTCGACATTTTCTCTACCTTACCACTTGCCTCAAGTAAAAAAACTGCGACTAAAAATAATGACGTTCTTTTAAGATATTT